ATCGCTGCCTCTCCTTGTGTTTTAGCTACAGGGCTGAAATATACAATAGCGCACCATCTTTCGGATGAGACGTTTAAGCCGTTGGTCCCGTGTGCATTATGGCCCACGTGCACATTGAAGAACGCAGTACACTCTTTGGAAAAGAGTAGGGGATTGTCTCTCGGTGTACTGAATGGCCAAAAAAATCATAAAAAAATTCAACAATAGATGTAGCAGAGTAGTAGAAATGGAGGAATTGTTGGCAGAAGACGGATAGACATTTAGAAAATATGGAAGAAATGAATATTTGAAACGTTCAGCTCTACAAGGAGGCGGTAAGAAGGCTATTAAATTTTTGTATTCCTAAGCAAGATAGATATTTAAGAATGTGATCATAAGACTGAACAATCTGACAAAAAGTGAATGAGTGAAATATTTAAATCTTGTGTTGTACCATGTATTACCATATTGGGTAAATGTGACCCAAGATCACAAAAGGACTGTAAACTCGTACCCTATCAAAATGGTAATTTTTATGTAAATGAATAGAGCACATCATTAACTTTATGATGAGGGCTCAATGACCTTAATCGGACAATTATGTGTAAAGTTAAGATAGTTTTGAATTATAATTATTCTCTACAAATTGGCCTATAAAGTTCTGAGCAAAAGGGTTTTAAAAGTACTGAAGCAATTGAAGAAAAATCATAGTAGCAGTAAAAGAAACTCCTTAGCAACAACACAGTTCCCATTGAGCTATTGATGAATTTAGTAGCCATAAGAAGTGTTTAATTCGTCAAGCCTTGTTAGAGAGGGTGTTTTGTCGGGGTGTGGATGAAAAAGGGAAAGGGTGGAGTTATGTATTCGAACTACCGGTTCCATCATTAAAATACTGGTAGATCACATTAATTACTCTCTATCTTCTTTAAAATCAAAACATTTAGCGTTCTTTATGCGTCCGCAATACTTAATTGAATAGTAGGCCTATACCTTTCTTCGTGACCAGTGATCCAAATCAAATTATGCCAAGGGCTGATGGGAAATTATGCTAAATTATACCAAATGTTAAATTTAATGGTTGTTTAAATAAGCGCCTTTCTCCCACCTAAAATGAAAGCAACACTATTCTCAATACTATTACTTGATACCCAGTGGTGCCGCCAGAGTCGAGTGTATCAGGTCTGATGTTCCCGACGGCGAAGAGTGGAGGAATTGGAGTGGCCAATTTCCCCGACGGGAGAAAGCTGCCAGAGTCGTGGAATCAAATTTAACATTTGGTATAATTTAGCATAATTTCCCAACAGCCCTTGGCATACAGTAATTTTATTTGGATCACTGGTCACGAAGAAAGGTATAGGCCTACTATTTAATTAAGTATTGCGGACTCATAGATAACACTAAATGTTTTGATTTTAAAGAAGATAGAGTGTAATTAATGTGATCTACCAGTATTTTAATGATGGAACCGGTAGTTCGAATTGAGGAATTATTGTCTTGAATTAATTCAAAGTATACTAAACTATTTCATGACCTGTTGGAAAAGATTTGGAAAGCTCTCTGGCAGTGAAGCGGATCAGAAATGATGTAGATTGCGGTTGAGTACATGTTAAGAAACTAGTTGGGGTTATTGTAACTTTAAAAAAATATTGACGCCAACAGAACGATCATCAGCACTATTTTCAGCGATGTGAAACTAAAACGTATTGATGAAGTACAGTATATTCACACATCATCATTCAAATCATGTAGAAAATAGTTAAACAGCTTTAAAGATTCAAACAATAACGTGCGTGTTGACATTACAATTGCTTTAGAAATTATCTTCAAAAGTAATATTCTAGAGCATAGCACCACTGTACAGACTATCCTTAGTACTAAATATTTTGGCATACATCATAATTGCCTCACTGCAAGATCATTTATTTTTTACAAAACAAGACACGAACAGCTTTGTATCTTTTGAATTACTTCAAGGTTATTGTTTTCATTTAGTACTAAGGTACAATGGTGCTATGCTTTAGAAAATTACTTTTGAAGATGATTTCTAAAGCAATTGTAATGTCAACACGCATGTTATTGTTCGATTCTTTAAAGCTGTTTAAATATTTTCTACATGATTTGAATGATGTTGTGTGAATATACAGTACTGTACTACATCAATACGTTTTAGTTTCACATCGCTGAAAGTAGTGCTGATGATCGTTCTGTTGGCGTTAATATTTTTTTAAAGTTACAATAACCCCAACTAGTTTCTTAACATGTACTCAACCGCAATCTACATCATTTCTGATCCGCTTCACTGCCAGAGAGCTTTCCAAATCTTTTCCAACAGGTCATGAAATATTTTAGTATACTTTGAATTAATTCAAGGCTATTTCCTTCATTTAGGCAGGGACAGTGAAATTGTAATTTCACTGTTCCCTGATTTAGGTATACAATTATATAAGCTTTGTACCACAGTACGATGCACTACAAATACTTTCGGAACATACTTTAAAGATGACTTTAGGGTTAAACGGGGGGGGGGGGGGGGGAAGAGGGGGGGTGTAAGAAATTGTATCATTATTTTGCAGAAAGTTAATGTAATCACTAGGTCTATAATAACATAAATGGTGACTTATTTTAGGATATTCAAGTCTCAGTTTTACTGTAAGTGAAAACTCAATCCGGTCAACTCAATCATTGTAGTAGGAAAGTATTAGTGTTTAAAGACGTATCTGTGAAGGAACAGAAAATTACCCGACATTCTAAGGTGAATATATGTTTTGTTTACGTTTCAAGTTTACTGTCCTATACTAATATTAACAATATGCTATATATGATGCTGTAGTTAGACGATGGAGTTTAATCAAATAATCAAATTTATTAGGCCTATATAGGCCTTAAGGGATATTGAAATTGTAATGTAGGCCTAAGCTATTTTGAAAACTAAAGAAAAAAAAATGGAACTGATGATTTTCTTCTGATTAAAAAAAAGGTAACTGCTATCTCTTAGCTACATTAGGTATATCACTCCTATTTCAATACAATAATTCCAAAGGGATATAATACATTTAATAGAGGTTTCTATAATATGCGCTCTACATACTGTATATAAGTCGACCATTATTATTCTTTTTAAAGATTTTGTTTTGTTATATCTTTCAGCAAGAGTGAAACTCCGAAAAATGTTAATACAAGTCACTGTGATTCAATATTTCAAACTAGATTTGTTCAACGGCATAATTCATATTAATTTAGGTTGGTACCATCGGACAAGGAAAGGCATGGTTATGGACAGTTGCTGCTGCAATATCACAAAGAATGCTGGTTTGTGCACACCTGTAACACAAATGGATCTTGAATATTGTTTTATACAATAAACTCTAGTGATGCTTTAATACATGATAGGACTAAATTACGGAAAAAATGCATAGTTAAACAGGACTGTAAAGCAAAGAACTCTAGAATAGCCTTGAATTTGAGGTACAGTATGTTTAACAGTAAGACATAAGCAAAACGATATGTGAAGGGGTATGCTAGTAAATGAGACCCTGGGGAAGTAATGTCCCTACCGTATGATGTTTGTTGGTGTTTTTAATTAAAGAAATTATGGTTTGTATATGAACTCAGTGTATTTTGTAAGTCTGCAGAAGTTGATTAAAGCCATTGTTACTAATATGCAACAAGGAATTGAAACCGTGGAAAGTTAGGCCAATAAAGACAAGTTGGAACTGGGACGTGACAAATTAAAGACCAGTGGGAACTGGGACCATTGAAAACCAATTGGAATTGGGGCCAGTTGAAGACCAGTTGAATTGTCCAAAAACACACAACACCCACAATTTTTTTTATAGAATACACACATTTTCTATAGACAATCATTCAATTTATATACACTTTCTATAAAATTGTATAGAATTTCTATTCGCATGATATTTAATGTATTTTTTGTAGGTTTTTTTTCTCTAAAATGTTTTAATTTATAGATTTATAAATGATTTTTATAAAATTGTTTATAAATTTTCTATAGTTTTTAAAGGTTTTTAATAAAATTTTCATAGACTTTCTATAGAGTTTTAATAGAATTTTCAGTTTTTTGATAGAATTTTTATAGAGTTTTAATAGTTCTTTAATAGAGTTTTAATATATTTTTTATAGAGTTTTAATAGATTTTTTTTGTTTTTATATATTTTTAATAGATTTTTAATAGAATTTTAATAGAGTTTTAATAGATTTTTAATAGAGTTTAATAGATTTTTAATAGAGTTTTATAGAGTTTTAATACGCTTTTTATAGTGGGCTTCTGTAAGGTTTCTATAGCTATTTCTATAGAATTTTCTATAGACTTTCTAAACAATATACTATAGACATTCTATAATGTTTTTTTGATAGAATTCTATAGATTTTTTTTTGTATGGGGCCCAATCACCACCAGAAGGACCCCATCGGAAATAAGTCTTCTGGTAGGACTAACAGTGTAGGAATATTTTTAAGCCAAAACCATTTTTTCATCAGTCATGCAAAGTTTGTTCAACTTAATAGTTTGGCACACAATTGGTCAATACACAAGAAGGTGGGAAAGGGGATCGGCTGTCAGGGCCACTGTGAGCCCACCCATATCTCAAATTAAATCCATTACCGACCAATCGACAAATGCCAAAGATTTGTAGTCTTATATATATATGGGCGTGTTTCTGCTGAATAACGCCAAAAACACGTTTTTTTTTTTGAACGGTTAAATTAATCCGGGGCGCGTTTCTCGTGAAAAAGTGCAACTAATTAAAACATGGTAACGTAAGCATTGGCAGGTGAGCGAAGCTTATAAAGACAAACACCAACAGAAGTTTTTTTCTTTCTTTAGAAACTCTACTGGCTATTTGCTCTGAATTGGTTTGGGTCAAACCGAGCTGGTACACCGAGTCCGATGCTGTAAGTTGTACTATGTATCTTTTTTGTAATTTTTGTATGCGAGCAAAGAATTTCCCAAATTATTAAAGTGTTTACCTTATATATCTTATCTTGTCCAGAATATTTCTTACCTGGTGTTTCACTAGTGATAGTTACTATATTAGAATGTATGGTAGATGCATCCATTGATGTTCCCTTATCAAGATTCGTTGGAATGAGTTTACTTGGTACCTTGGTGCCTCCTAACGTCTGGCCAGCACCGGGAAAATATTCCCTATGCCGTGGGTCTTGGTAGTATACTTCTCGTTTATCAGTTACCTAGTAAAGTAAGACAATTTATACTTATATAACCCAGTTTTATTAAAAATTTATTCTATTCATTATTAGTTCAGAATATTGAGATCCAGAATTGACAGAGTTGCCACAGTATGAAATACTGTACTTGTGTGACCAGGTCTGGCAAAACCAGCCATTTTTTGCAAATTATAATTGTGCACAAGCAGCAAAATGTTTGAGAATCAGAAAAATTTTCTGATCTCTGTATTTAATAAAAGAAGATATATTGAAGAAACTTTCCTCAAAATACCAATCACTAAATCTAACTGAAAAATTGGCCCGCGGGACGCCTATTAAGAATCAGGGTCTTTGTAAAGATATGTTAGAAAATTCTTTTCAAAACTGTTTTAAATTTTTTATGACAAAGATAAGCTTGGTATTAATTAATCTTGATTTTACTAATAGTGATTCCAATTTTGTTGAAACTCAGAAAATATAAGAAAGGTGTTCTTCACTATTTATACTACTGTATTATGAACAGGGAAGTTCAAAGTTTGAATATAGAAATATTACACGTTACCAAGAACGGTGTTCCATCAGGATATTGTGTTTTCAATTCCGTTGGGAAAAATCCATCAGTTAGATCCTGGATACACATCTGAAATACAGTTTTATTGAAGATTACTGGACAACATTCATTGAGAGCTATACCACACGATGTACCATTCACGAACACTGTACTTACCTTTCTTTGATGATTCACATATAATTTAACAGTGTTAACAGTATCTTGATTATTATTATTATTATATGTTACTATTTATTTCCAGCCGTACTCAATGCCCGGTATCTTGAGGTGCACTATCATTGTGTAATACAATGTAGCTGACGGATGGCAGGACCATTTCAAAAACAGTATATAGTGATGTAAAAATTGTATCAAGCATAGGCTTTCAACAAAAAAGTTCTTATAAATTGTTTAAATAAGAACGGTTTCTAATTGATATGTAACTTTTTTCTTTCTTCTATGTAAAGGGATGGTAAAAAAAACCCTAAGAGCAACAAAGTTTATTAATAGAAAATGTTTTTCAATTCCTGAAAATGTTCTGAACCCAAATTTTTTCAAAGCAGAAAGTGGGTTATTGAATTGTTAATAATATATTAGGGAGCCTCGCAAAATAAAGCAACGCGGATACCCGTCTAAAACGCGTGATTGGGGATTAAAATCGCTTCGCGTTGCTGACGAGTGGTTCAAGATACTGATTAAAAATGTTAGACGAGTCCATTTCGCGAATTAAGGTTCGTTTTCCGACGTTTTTGCTCTACTTGTTTGCGTCGGTTTATCTTGTGATTTTGATGTACTGTAATTTATCGACAAGCCTCTTTTCTATGTTTTGTCATAAGTTTCATTCATTATTATGAATTAATTTTAATACTATATCCTGTCATTTGTTATTGAGCTATTCTGTAAAATTTAAAACCGAAATGTCGAATACCAAGACTCGAAACCCACTGAAATTTCCTATACACTTTTATACTGTATTATAATCAGGCCAAACTCATGTTTTTGCCATGAATATTGACAGGAAAAACGCAATTTAATGCCAGTATATTGCTTTTTCTAGAACTATTCATAGGAACATTCCCACGCTCTGCTGCTATGGAAATACAGACTGAATCAATGTGTACGTGTCATTGATCCTGCTGCCGGCCGAGTTATGCATAGCTCAAACCCTTTGTACGCCGCCCAGTGTTATAACCAGGCCAAACTTATGTTGTTCCATGAGCATGGAGGAATAAATTCGTAGTGACAGGATAAATGCAATTTAATGCCAGTACCTGCTTCTTCTAGAACTATTTATAGGAACAGTCCCACGGTTCTGCTGCTATGGGCCGAGTTATGCATAGCCGTACCCTTTGTACGGCGCCCAGTGATAACGACTCGACGTTACCATGGAAAAGCATAGAATAAACTAAGAAAATATCAGTCTCTGAATTTTTGTGTGCAATT